AAGGATAGTTAAAAAATTACATAATGATATTCTGTTCGATTCTATCGATTGATAATTTATATCTCTGGTCCGAACTGGGGTGATCAATTACGGAGATGGTTCGGTTAATTACTAGTAGGAAATCAGATCCATGATGTATGAGGTAAAACACGTGTGCGTGGGATAAAGAAAAGGATAAAGGTTTGGATTTAGAAGGTGTCTACACATGACGGATCCTTATTTATTTATACAAAAATTGATATATATAGTCTCACATTGATTGTATATGCAATTAATGTGGAGTTTATAAGGTCTTGGGCACTCCCACTTTTAGAGCTAACTTTTGAGGTGGTGTATCACAAGGTTCTTTACATGGTATCAGAGCTTGAGTGATTATAAGGTCACAAGTCTTCACTGTCCCTCATTTTAAAGTGGAATTAAAATAAAAAAGCACAAAAAGGTAAACCAAAAATTGGGCATGTGCAATTCCACGCTTCTAGCCCAAAGGACTCTTGTGTGAGGGGACATGTTGAGATATATAGTCCCACATTGATTGTATGTGCGCAACTAATGTGAAGTTTATAAGGTCTTAGACACTCTCACCCTTAGAATTAACTTTTAGAGTGGTGTATCCCAAAGTTCTTTACAAAAAGATTACCTTGATTTAATAGAGTTTGATTGAGAATCCTCTTGGGAATTCGAAGAGATGATCCTTATCAACTAGTTATTTATTTGTTGAAGTTACAAAATATGTTGGCGAATCATGTTTGTATTGTGTTAAAATCTGATATGCTGGTAAAATTGTCTAATCTGAACGTGATATACTTTTATTTACGGGTCGAAAATTGAAACTTCAAGACTGAAAAGTCAGACAGATTGGCGTTGAAAAATTGAAAAAAAAAAAATAGAAGGAAAAAATTGAATAAAATATATGGGTTGACCAATAATTCATAATGAGTTGTGCCAAAATCTCCTTAATTTTTTTAAAAAAATTGACAATTAACACGCAGTATGGATTAAATTGAGTTGTGCCAAAATTACTACTGATGACACAATAATAATTTATCATTTTTTAAACTCGCACACAATCCGTATTATTTCATGGGTCGACACATTTTAATATATTATATCGTGGGTTCACTCACAAGCCAGAATATATTTTGTCACCCTAATCTATTTGAATGGAGTGAGACCCAAATTCTAAGCAATTCAACGGCCCAATTCCTCGGTTAGAACATGTATAATTTTGTATTTTTCATTTTGAAATTTTTTTAAATAATAATAATATAAGGAATTGTAAACACCTTCTTTACCTTGAAATTTAGGAGAGAAAAACACTGCAAAGTAGAGGAGGAGATTCTTGCCATGACAAAATTCTTATCTGCCAATCAAGTAATTAAGAGATTTATTTTACTCTCTACTGGTGAATGTGTTTCGTTTAAATATAGCGTTAAAGATGCATATAAAATCAAAGACAAAGTACAATATCACTAAAAATTAATAAAATAAAATAAAGGACCATCCCCCGGATTTGTTGTTGCAGTGTCATAGTGATGTGAACATTAATTGGGTTGGATTTAGGTTCTAAACAAATTTCATGGACGTAAATGTGTAATATGGTTTTCTTGTTTTTTTGGCGAAAGGCACAGAAAACGTGTTGTCCCATGGGTGCTTAGGATCTTATCTGATGTGATTGCCCAAGTTTAATTGGGCTGAATTTAGGTTTAGAACTTCAAATTCAATTTTTCTCTTTTCAGTTCAGGCTGTATTTTAATTGGGCCTGATTTGATCCAACACTAAAATATTTTAAAATTTAATTTCAAGTGTTTGTGTGTTGCTTAACTATTTAATTTTCTTATCCTTATTACTTTTTTATTGTGTTTCAAAACCCGTCAATTCTGAGCCTGCATAATATTCAATTAGTCCGACCTTCTTCAAGTCGGTCTGTGGAAGCGTTGATGAACAGTTAATCAAAATCAAACAAACAGAGGTATGGAGGAATAGATAACACAAAATTTTAATGTGGAAAACTTTTTCGATGTGAAGAGTAAAAACTACAAGACCAAATCCAAAAAAACGTCCACTATAAATAATGGGATTACACAAATGATTTCTCTGTGTCTCAATAACTAGAGGACTTCATCATCTAAAGGATGGATCTACTCATAAGTGCCTCACACAAGTGTTTCTCTCTGTAAAGGGGATAGGGAATCTTACTCTAAAGGATAATCTTCTTCTTCAGCTATGGCATTGGGTTTCTTCCTCAAAGAATTTTCGTCTCTGGCTTGCACTTTTCTTCTGCGCGTTTTTCTTTCTTCGCGTATGCGTCTTTTTCTTTTCTTTTCTTCTTCTCTATAATGGCTTAGCATCTAAGCATTGCTTATAAATAAGATATTTAGGGCACCATCAATTTTGGGCCGAGTTCATCATGGGCAACGGACCCAACAAATCTCCCCTCCGTGCCCATGAGGGAGGATATCCAAGCTCCCCCTCATCTCAAGTATGGGGCCGTGGTAGTCAACCTAGCACCTTCACAGCAATATTCAAACTTCCATGTTGGAACCATCTTGGTCATCATCCGACCAATTCAAGTCGATATGGACTTTGTCTAGCTGCAAAAACTTCTCTTTTATCACATCTCGGATCCAAAGGTACCAAATGTCTACGTGCTTTGACCGTGCATGGAATGTTGCATTTTTCGCTAAGTGTATAGCACTCTGGTTATCACACTTTAGCATATACTTCTCTTGACCGTGTCCGAACTCCTGTAGAAAACTCTTCATCCACACTAGCTCCTTACATGCCTCAGTTGCAGCAATGAACTCGGCCTTGGTAGTAGATAAGGCAACACATTTATGGAGTTTTGACTGCCAAGAAATAACTCCCCTGCAAAGGTAGTCAGACTTCCTCGAGTCTTCGTCTCCTCTATTAGCATGTCATCTACGTAGAGAAAGAGGATGATGAAGTCAGCATCACACTTCTTGATAAGTGATTCAAACTTTCTGTACCACTGCTGTGGTGCTTGCTTCAGGCCATACAAGCTATTTTTATGTCAATATGCCAGAATTTTTTTCCCGAAACTTCAAAACCTTCGAGCTACTCCATGTAAATTTCTTCTTCCAAGTCTCCATGAAGAAAGGTCGTCCTCACATTCAGTTGTTCGACCTCCAAGTCTTGAGTGACCGTTATACCTAGAACAGTTTGGATTGACATCATTTTCACCTTTGGTGATAATATCTCAAAGTCTACGTCTTTCTTATGATTGCACACTTTCATCATAATCCGAGATTTATACCTCGGCTTTAGGTTGTTCTCTTCCACCTTGAGTTTGTATACCAATTTGTTCTTTAAAACTCGTCTGCCCTTTGGTAGCTCGACCAAGTCAAATGTGTGATTCTCATACAAGAATTGCTTCTCGTCTTGCATGACTTTCTCCCACTATTATTTTTCAACACTGATCACTGCCTCTTCATAACTATGAGGCTCTCCTTCTTCTGCAATGACTGTGTATTCGTCTGCAAGATATCTGGTGGAAGGGTGTCTAACTCGAACGGATTGTCGAATAATAAGTCTTACACCAAATCTTAACCGTTGATTTTTTGCATTTAACGATTAAGATTTATTGGGTCATAATAATTAATTAATTAATATTACCCAATAAATCTTAATTGTTAGATTCACATAAATCATTGATTAAGTTTTGGTATAAGACTTCTTATTCTTACACCAGTGTAAGAATAATCTGCATATATATATATATATGTATATATATATATATATATGAGAGAGAGAGAGAGAGACAGGATCCTTTGACACTGGTGTCAAAAAAAAAGTTTGACACCTCATTTAAAGGTCGTTGATCTTGCCTTGATCTAATGACTCTTAGATAAGCTGTCAAATTTTTTCTTTGACACCAGTGTCAAAGGACCTTTTCCCTATATGTATAGAGAAATGTTATATTTATAAACTTTTTCGCTTACAAACTCTTACAACCAAATCTTAACCATTGATTTTTGTCCATCGGACGGTTCTAATCTATTGGGTAACATTTATTAATTAATTATTAATTTTTAATAAACTATAACTGTCAGATTGGCAGAAATCAACGATTAAAATTTAGTTATAAAAGTTCGTAAACGAAAAAGTTTATAAATATAATATTTCTCACATATAACTTTTGACTTGGGTGTACGAATCAAGCAATTTTATTTTTATTTCACATTACTTTCTAGAGGAGATTTGGTCAAAAAAATTTACGTGGAATAAAAAAAAAGCTACTAATTTAAATACCCAAATTAAAAGTTATGGCTTTTCGTAATTTTATGGTCAAATTTTTAATTTTTTGTGCTACCTGTAACACCAGATGAGTTTCGCTTAGATTGCATGCACCCTACTATGTCTTATTTTGGCATAACCAGTCCCACTCAATTTTGGAGCAACCGGTTGCTATAAATTATAAAATATTACATTTTCATAATTTTTTATTTAAATAATAATACTTTTTTTTTCTTGAGTTTCGGTCCTCGTAAGGCAAAGATGGCTCGTAGGGCAAGGCATAGGCAATAGCTACTAGAGACTAAAGCAACGGTTAATATAATGTTTTTGTTCTCCTTAAATATTCAGGTCATTTTTATTTTTATTCTAATAAATTAAATTAAAATATATTCTCTTAAAACCGATTTAATTTTTTAATTTTTTATAAACATAATATATTTTTGTTAGAGAAATATTTTTTTTATGTTATAGGAAAATAATTACATCATGTATTAGATATAAAATTACAAATGAATTCCACAGGTAAAAAAAGAGAAACAAAAAGAATGACAAGATCCAATTCTTTTCATGTGTGTGTAAAAAAATTATTTCTCTTATTTCAAAGGAAATAAAGATAACCTTTTTGTTAACTAGTGAATGGGTAGAATGGCATGAATTCCTATGCCTTTGGATCATCCACGTGCACGGCTTCCATGTCATTACTTTCCTTAAAAATTATTTCGATTAAAAAAAACAAAAAACAAGAATTCATTCATACGGATAAGGGAAAAGCTGATTCTCTTGTCTTGGAAGGGTTGAAGCACCTAATCCTAATCCACGTAGTAGTATCCAGCAACAACCATAGCAATTCGCGAACGAAATAATCACTATCACTACGAGGATCGAACCAAATGGAAGTGGCTATGTCTCTGAACGCTCTCATTCGTCTTCCTCTCTCTAGTTCCAGTTCGAGACTCCACCACGACGACGTCGTTTCACCACCGGTGAGGCATTCTCTGTTTTCTACCCGGAGAACGAACCCAAATCCTCCTCAACGCCGCCACGTGTTGTTGGTCGTTGAAGCAAAGGGCAAAAAGGGAATGGTGCCTCGTCAATTTCAACGTCCTCCTCCTCCTCCCTTACCCAAAATTGAAGACGATGGCAACCCCAAATTTGTCGTCTTCATTCGCATGGCCAATGTAATAATAATCATGTTCAATTCAATCTTCCAATTAAATATTATAATACCCTTTTTTTTTCTTAATCATTATTATCACAAATTGTATAATTCTATATCCGCAGGTATATCTTTGGTACCCTCTTAGTATAGTTTCAGGTGGCACCACTGCCAAACTCATGGTTGCAGCAAAAGATAATTTTTTGGGCAAATATATATACAAAGATACACTTGATAGAAATCTTGCTGCTGTTATCTACCGAGTAAGTTTGTTCCCATTTTTGGCATGTGTTTGATTGATGTTAGTTATTAAACTACTTTTTTTCTGCAATAGCAAATTTAGAGAGTTAAATGCATATTTATGTATTGATATTAGGGGAAGATTATACGTACAAAGTTATAAATTACACTATACTAGTAATACAATATACTATTATCGGTCGGTCAGACACAGTGTAATTTGTAAAAAGTTTGTCAATATAACTTTTCTCTTGGTATTAGTCTGCTAAGTTTTCGTGATTTATAATTTATATTTTTGTGTTTTGTGGCATTGGTAACTGGGGCAAATAGTGTAATTTGTAAAAAAAAGTTTGTCAATATAACTCTTCTATTGTATTAGTCTGATAAGTTTTTGTGATTTATAATTTATATTTTTGTGTTTTGTGGCATTGGTAACTGGGGCAAATAATGTGACAATGGAAGAAGAGGGTTTTTTATTTATTTAGAAGAAACAAAAAATAAAAAAGGGGCATTCCGAGAATTGAACTCGGGACCTCTCGCACCCTAAGCGAGAATCATACCACTAGACCAAATGCCCACCTTGTGAGAAATGAATTGTGATAACCATCTGAAGCTTTTTCTGAACGGGATATGACAATCTGTAGTGGTCATTTAAAAATGAATAAAGCTTGGACAAAATCAGAATGTAGTGTGCAGAAAATGAGATGGGACTAACTGTAATCAAATGGTGAAAACTGTTGAGATATGAGGTGATGAGTGTGAGTAGCATTATTCTTTAAAACTTGATCTGCTGTTCAACCCTTTGCCTTACTGGGATGTGCTTTCTTGGTTATGCATGGTCCTGTCTTTTTTACTGACTGCTTAGCTTCAATTCAAATAGGATGAGAAGGAGATACAGAAAACTGCACTCAAACAACATCGTGTGCTGCGATCAGCTACTGATTTTAGATATGGCTACAAACTTGTTGTAATGTTCCTATACTTTCTTTTCTTCTATGCCTCGATAAATATTTTAAAACCAATATTCAGTCTTCCAGACTTGGCAATGCATACTTTACTAATGTTAGAAGAAGAATCCCACTTTTTTTTTATTCCCTAAATTTTCCATGTTATTAATTTGCAGGAGAATAGCAATATAAGAGCTGCACTTTCTACCACAGATGTTATTGAGGTAACATTCTTGTGATGTTCTTCTTCATCATCATCATCATGGTATATTTCTAATATTTTGGAAAAAAAAAAATCATTTGAAGTTTTTAACACAATTTCTAACCTTCCAGCATTAAAGATGTGTATATGTTTTACCAATACAACAAAGAACAACCTTTTTTTTTTATTAGAAGAATTCATACATACAACTTTTTGACTTGATAAATTAGCATGAAAATGACACCTATCATTTTCGTTGAAGTTTTTAGGATTAGATTTTAGAAGCTTGTAGATTGATGATAGTCTACATTACAAAATGTCGGATTTTTACCCAAATATTCAGGAAGAAGATTACTGGATTCTTTCCCACTAATATATTGTTATGTTTGCATATCCATTCCGAAGCTTCCAACACCAGATAAACTAAAAACCGTACTTGATAAAGTGAAAGACTTTTTTGGAGATGCAAAGGAGTCCTTTGGGAAGATGACAGCGTTAGGCACTACTACAACTGAAGAATCAGAGGAAGATACAAAAGAAAAGGCTAAGTGAGTTTACGTCTTATTGTCTAAACAACAACTCTCAATTGTGATTATCAGGGGGAAATTCTTATCCCTTTTATCTATTTTCTTCTACATCTTCCTCAACTTCTTCTTTCTTCATCTTTTGGATGCCACATTTGATGGGATATGTCTGATTCTAAGCACTTCTATGAACATTATTTGTTAGGTCCATAACATTATTCATTTATATGGTTGATAAATTTCAAAATTTCCGATGGTTTTGATTATTTTTGTGCTAATGCCAGGGTTGAAGGATGAAACTATAGCTGGAAATATTTTGCTTTAATTGTTATGAGTAGCCTGTGGCCTTATGAGCTCAGAAAGCTTCATGCAGTTTGTGGATTGATTAATGGGGAAGCTTCTGTGCACAACGATGTTACTCCCGGTTCTGTTCTTTTATCCATAGCCATCAACATAATTTTATTTTCTGCAGAGTGAACACCACCTTTATGATGCTGTATCACTCATGTATGTTATAATCCATGATGCTTCAAGAGTTATTTGTGCAAATTACGGGTTGAAATATCCATGCATTTTATTTAAGAGGAATTCATTAACTTAATCAGAGATTCCATTATCAACTAGACCAATTAACACTGCAATTGGGATCCTCGCAACTCAATGCAAACCGGAATATCTATAGAATTCACAATAAAATTTGTGTGTTTACTTGTTTATGCCTCTGATATATTCTACCTGTTCGTGCAAGAAAATTTATTTATCTATTTTAAAGTTCACGAGAAACTAACATCAGCATAATTACGTAGTTTTTCTCCTGTAAGACGTAATTCTTTTGAACTCAAACTACAAACTTCTTTTATTTTCAACACCAACACGTTAATGATATCTGCACATCAAAAAGGCTCCAAAATAGTTCGGCTAAAATATTATTAACCCTTTAATCTTTAGTTTAGCCCTTGATTTTAAGAACGTGTAATTTACTCATGAATTTTTATCGATGTTGCAGAAAACCTCTTAAACCACTCAAATTCTAAATGTCTCCCCTCTGATCTCTGACCAAAGAAGTGGATGCAAATTTTTATGCTTTTTTATTTTTATTAACTACTATAACTGTTCTTGCGGTTTTCAGATTTCCTCATGAACCTGAATGTAATCTCCAACACAATTTTTTTTTCAGTTCTGATGATTTCCAATTATCAATTGAACCATGACCATACAAAAAATTGCTCATTTGAAAGAATCGAATAATGCTAATATAATCAGTTTATTTCAATCACTTAAATAACTTTTGTTATGCTTACTTAGCATTACCTTCAGGGATAAAAATATATCTTCTTTGTTGAGTTACAATGAATGCTTGCTTACTTAGTTGTTTCTTGGAACAGGAAAACATATAATAAATTAGTGGACAATAAACCATCCAACTAATCGCATGCAAAGGTAAATCTTAAAAATGAAATCTCTTTTAGTAGCTAATAATTTTTCCTAACAGAAAAAAAAAAATGCAATTTTTTCCAAGTACACTTTTAGGGATAATTATTTCAAATAGGGTTTGTATTAGACGGGTTGGGGTCCAAAACTTCCATTCTTATTCGATTAAGTGGACGATTGAAAAGTTTGGATAAGAATTACCAGCAATTATGGGATAAACAGAAAAGGGGTTCTTGAAATTTGGCAGAGTAGAGAGTGTTGGATAAAAAGGGCTTTTATATTGTCCAAAATAAAAGAGGCTTTTATACTCCTCCACCAAATTTTACGAAGTAAATTACATGTTTTGAAAAAATAAAATAAAAGAAAATATGTTATGTAATATTTTTTTATTTTATTACGTGTAACAAAAGTAGTTTAAAAATAGGATAAGTTTTTTAGTGCATGTTCATTTAGTTTTTTTTTTAAATACTTTTAATTCTTTAAAAACAGTGAAAAAAATGGCTATTTGTTTCGAATAAATTCATCTACACAAGTACAAGCATTGCAAACCAAATTGATATAGGAAAATAAAAAATTGTTAGTAGCGCTAGATGTTAAAAAAGTAACCATAAGATTAAGTTGTGGTTGTGCAACCACATGTAGGTAACACCTCTAATCTAGCAGAATCGTCGTCATAAGCTTATCTAAGATTTTAGGTACTGTTTGGTTGAAAGTTTATTTTGAGATTGATGGGAAAATGTAAGTGAATATTGAAAAATATCACGTTTGGTTCAGGTTTTTTCAAAAAATACTAGACAAATAGGATAGATGGGAAAATGACTTTTGTGTTGATTTTTTGATGAAATTCACTGTTACAGAATACCACTTGAGATGTGGTATTTTGAGATAACTGAGGAAGTGAAAAAACAGGTGCAAAGTTTCTCCCGAACATAGATTTTGCATATTTAAATAAATCTTTCTGGTAATATTTCGATCAACCAAACAACTTATTTTACATTTTCCTACCAAACTCACTTTCCAATCATTTCCTTATCAATTACATTTCCATAGTAAAAAAAAATTTCTACCGAACCAAACCCTACCTATAGTAATCTGTTTAGACAAGGTGTACCTGGTTGTGGAGAAATCTAGAATAGTGGAAGTTCATGTCCCCACCGACTGATGCCGACTGAGGAATCATTGTCGTGCTTTCCAGAACCCTCTATCACTCTCTTGTTTCCAAATTTCTATATATTTCATAAAACCCCATCTCCAAAAAACATATGCTTTTGACACTAAACCAACCTCAACTCCTCAACATTGATAACCTTTTCTTTTGATTTTGGTATCAAAACAGACACACTATACAGATATGGCACATGCTTTATCCTCTAATCTGGGACTTAACCTTTCCATTCTTTCTAAAGGTTCATCTAAGTATTTGTGTCCCTTAGGACCAACCACTTTCCCACAAGTGTCGAAGTTGAAGCTTATTAGGGCCATGGTGGGTGATGATGCAAGAGGAAATCTTGAACATGTGCCAAGACACAACAAGCACCAGTCTCACCCCAAGAAGAGAGTTGCCCCTGCCTCACCAATAGGTAATTAAGGTCACCAATAACTAATTTCTCATTTGGGGTCATGCTATGTTCGTAGAATTTTATACTTACTATTTATTCTTTTTATTATCTCTTATTATACTTAATTTTGAGTAAAGTCATTTTTGGGTTCTTGATAATTGAATTTCTGACAAAAAAAATATGATCCCCATTTGTGTCTTTTATACAAAAATTAATTTTTATCCTTCTACAATTTCATATTCTTTAAAAATATGATATTTCAGAAATTTAAATAAAAATTCAATTTAATTCCTAAAAAAGACTAATAGGGATATATTTTTGACAAGAGATAAATGTGGAGATCGTAATTTTTGTCAGAGATTCAAACATGACTTTATTTTTTAATTTTATCCATTAATAATAAGAGATACTAAAAAAAAATTGATAGTAACTATAATTTTATAGTGCAAACTTTACCATTGTTTTATTTTATTTAAATAAAAATTCAATTTAATTCCTAAAAAAGACTAATAGGGATATATTTTTGACAAGAGATAAATGTGGAGATCGTAATTTTTGTCAGAGATTCAAACATGACTTTATTTTTTAATTTTATCCATTAATAATAAGAGATACTAAAAAAAAATTGATAGTAACTATAATTTTATAGTGCAAACTTTACCATTGTTTTATTTTATTTTATTTTCTAGTTAACATTAAATTTGTGACTATAATAAGCATTGAATTATATAACATGGGAAATTATGTGTAAAGCAGGGTTGTGGGACCGGTTTCCTTCGGCAAGGACAGTGGAAGAGATGATAGACACTATGGAGGGGATGATGGAGGACCCTTTTGCGTTGAGCACTTTTGAGTGGCCTTCATCTCCATTACCAAGTGAAGGAGTGGGTGGGTATAAGAGGAGGGGAAGAACACCATGGGAGATTAAAGAGGGAGAAAGTGAATACAAGATGAGGTTTGATATGCCTGGGATGAGCAAGGAGGATGTGAAGGTGTGGGTTGAAGAGAAGATGCTGGTGGTCAAGGCTGAGAAAGCACCTAAGAAGAAGAACACTGAGGAAGAGATGGTGGAACAAGAAAACAAAGATGAAGAAGAATGGTCTGTTAAGAGCTATGGTAGGTATAGAAGTAGGATTGCTTTGCCGGAGAATGTGCAGTTTGAGAAAATTAAAGCAGAGGTTAAGGATGGTGTTCTTTATATAACAATACCTAAGGCTACAAGCTACTCAAATATTCTGGACATCCATGTTCAATGATAGATTTTGTTTCTGTCTTTTTTATTTATAATTTTTTGGTAGATTAATTTTATTGAGTTTCATTGGATGAAAAAGTCTCATCATTTATGTATCGCATTGAACTTACTTATTTACTTAGACATAACTAATTATCTATAATATAAATTAGTTAGTTGTCAAAAAATTTATCAAAAAAATTTAATTATAATTATTTTATAAAGCTTCAAAGTAAGTATATATATAGGAAAATTAGTTTACAGAAAAAGCAAACCCTCACCAACATTTGTATTATTCAAGCTGATATTTTCATTTCTAGGAGCAACTGTGATGGTACGCATTTCATGATTTATTTCATTTTAGTGAAAAAACAGTTAGCATGTCTGCATCCACTGCCGCATTGCGTACAAACTCATATGCATCTCTCGAATTAACTTAAGTTGAGCTAGATAGCTCAACTTGAGAGATTGAAGTGAAAATGTAAAATGTTACAACAACAAGAAGTTGAAGCCACATACCATCATGACCCCAGCCGTACATACAAAGTGGAATAAGGGAACAGTAACCATTTTGTCACACTTCAGCAAATTATTTATCAGACTACCACGCCAACAGTAAAAATTTCCGGAATGCCACGCGGCATAATTCGCTACACTGTGCAGCGAATTATGTTTGCAAATAATTCGCTACACAGTATAGCGAATTATGCCATATCAGGCTGTACAGTGAGCAAAAATGACACATGTCAAGCAGACAGTAATTCGTTACACTGTGTAACGAATTATGCTTGTATTACTTACTGCTTGACACGTGTTATTTTTGCTGACTCTGACCGTGACCGCGTGCCTGAACTCTGTTCTTTACTCCAGCAGCCATCCTCCTGCGACAGCTTGGCCTTCTTTGCTTTTAATGCCTCGTTAATTTCATCCCACACGTTTACTTCCCCATTTTCTGTAAAGAGATCCACACGTAAGTTTAGAGCATCAAGGTGTTTTCATGTTTCTATACATCATACCCTCTTAAGAATTGTAAAATGTACATTACCAAGGTGTTTTCATGTTTCTATGCACCATACACTCTTTTAAGAATAGTAAAATGTACATTACCTTTTGTACGGATATGACCTTCCCTTTCTGGCATGCAACTTCCATCAGTGCTACCGTTATTTGCTTTTGTTGGATTGACCAAATCATCACTAGAAACAACTACAGTTGCCAAATCAGAGTGGCCATGCTTAACCATTCCAACATCAGCAAGCGATACATAATCTATCTGTAGAAGGAAAACATTTGGTCATTTAATAAGCAGCAGCAGCAGCATGTTTGTTTTGTTAGAAAGGCAAGCTTTTTGGACATTCATTTTCAATAACATTTTTATGCTATGCCAGTATGCCACAATAGATATAAAAGATGAAATTAAATGCACTGGCACAAAATCTTCATCCCCAAAAAGTGCAATATGCACCCGCACGATTAACATAAACCAGGCACCTCTAGTATATTGTAAATGTTAAACATAGTTGACATGTAACTCAAATATATTGCTTAGCAGACTCCTAATATATTGCTTAGCAGGATGAGACATTCCACAAGGACACACTTGGTAGAAGGAAAGAAAAAACCTTAGGCAAGCTTGTATAAGGAGTAAGCTTATCAAAATATGCTGCATTAAGTGCATGTTTCTTTTCAGCATTCTGAACAGTAGGACACTCTTGATCATCCTGTTTACGGAATGAGTTCCTCTCTTTACCCCATTTCTGGCCCTTCTTCTTGCTGGTGATTCCATTCCACTGAAATGTTTCCTGAACCATCCAGATAACAGCTACACATCAATTGAAATATTGTGATCAAATGGCAACATACCTCCTGATACTCAAACACCAAAAAGATGAATCCCTTCCTTCTGCAAGGTTTTGACCTTATTACAAACTGATATGTAATAACCACTGTGCACCAGACTTCTTGAGTAAATAATAAACATAGTAAGTTATACTACTTTGAACAATTCTGAGCCCTTGAGTGAGAATCAAGATATGGATTACATGAGCTGTTAAAAAGGAACCAAAGCTAGTGCTAAAAAAATGATATTAAGCAACAGTTTAATTCCTTCCAAAGTATCTCCCAAGAAAATCCTAAAGAATTTTGTTAGCTCCCTCCACATCTCACTGTTAACCATCGTATACCTAAAAAAAATTTGTACTATTAATTCACAAATCACTTCTCAATAGAACATTCTTTATCCTCCATCAAGCCCTACAGTCTAAAAACCCAAATAAAAAATAAACAAAAGAAGTTCAGATGCAAAAAAATAATATTTAATACGATTTTGTGCAATGCAAAATTAATGATATATTTGATATTGACTCTTTATGATGGTAAGTAAAACACAGCCAAAATTGTAAATCTTATAGAAGAAAATAAAACAAACCACTGGAAACTGATTCTGTGGAACTGTCTGATCTGCATGAAATAGACCAGGAACTTATATCAGATCAAGAAAGTAATTCTAAAGCCAAAAACCACTACCGCTACTATAATCTTTTTAGCAGAGAGGGAGAATTAAAACCTTTTCTAAGGGGCTCAAACCGAATGTGCCCTGGCCTAATTTCCACAGGAACAACATCATCCTCTTCTTCACTTTCTTCATCGGGTTGTTCATGTACATCAGAAACTATGCAATTGTTATCTTTGATAGGTAAATGTTGTCCATCTTTTTTAAGCCCTGGAACAATGTCATCCTCTTCTTCACTTTCTTCATCAGGTTGTTGATGTACATCAGAAACTAAGCTATTATTATCTTTGATAGGTAATTGTTGTCCATCTTTTTCAAGCATTGGACTCGTATGGAACTGAAAATTTGGAGAATAGAACAATTCCATTCAAAATGATTAAGTACATTTTGAAAATAGTAACCTTAGACAAGTGACCTCCAAGAAAACTTAAATATTAATTCAAGCCACTGTACACAAAGGCTTCCAGACTTTGCAAAGGTAGGGGTGAGGGTCAATTATACGCGGCCTTACCCTCGTATTTCTACAAATAGGCTATTTCCTAGCCTCAAATCCGTGATCTTTTGATCACCAAATAACAACCTCAGTCTCACAGCTTGCTTCAAGGCTCTCCCTCTGATGTATGATTTCTACCTTTGCAATATTATGAATTGGGCATCTTACTAACCAGACTATAAGTCTGTAAGACTATAACTCAACAAGTCAACAACACCATTATACAGCAAGTAAATTGCCAGTCATAAGTGGCATCGAGATTAACTCATTTCCTTTTATCTCCATATATAAGGTGAATAACATTTGCAGTAACATTATGAGACCAGATTACCTTCTCCTTCTCTAATTTTAGTTCCCTCAACCATCTTCTCTTAGCTTTCTTCCGTCGGGCACTTCTGCTTGGTAACTGGAAAAATAAAATAAATCCAATAAACTTAAAAGTGTAAAAATTTGAAACCCCCTACTTCTGTGAAGAGAAGGACTGGCAAAGTATTGAAAAAGAATAAAGTGATCAAGTGATATGAAGTATCCAGGAAGATGATCCATAAAAGGGGAATTTCCTACATCATTGGGCACCAACTTATCTCCAAGTGCTACAGTATATTTGCTTGAACTAAATATGAAAGACAAGCTGCTTTTTTACTAATCTCAGGACAGTAGTATTTTATTCACTATAAACTCAAATTGCTCCTCCAAAGATACATGAGATATCAAGTTTGTCCTCCAAAGATATTATATATTAATTTGGTCCTTGAATGTTTAAAATAGACATCATTTTACTCCCTCAATATATCTTTGGACATTAATTTAATCCCTAAATTGATGCTTATTTTACACTATGGAGGACTAACTTTGATGTCCCATGTATCTTTGGAGGCCTATTTTGAGTATTTACTCTATTTTATATCACCCTGTCAATCAAGGCAATATAATGGCAACTAAATCTTCAGTCACATCAAGTCCAATTAAAATTTTCTCATATGAAGGCCTATCCTAGAACAACTTCATTTAAACTTTTTGGGGAAGGAAGGGGGACAAGAGAAAACAACAGCCATGAAAGCCTACTTCCAGCAGTAGTTTCCATCTTGACTTTAAGAAATTATATATGTTTGACTCACTAAACTATGTGTTGACGAGCACAAACAATACAGCTTAAATTGAAAACATTCTATGATATATTCTTCTTTTTTAAGTTAGAAGCTACTTATAAGCTAAAGTTAAAAGCTGTTTGGTAATTACATAAAAAAATTTAGCTTAAAATTTACTTAAAAACACATATTTCAAGAAAACTGTCTCTCTCTATCTCTATAGCTCATCACTTTAAAAAAAAAAGCATAAAATTCAAAAAAAAAAGATAAGAGCTTTAAAAAAGGAGGAGCTTTTAGCTTTTTTCTTCATTATAAAAAAAAAGCTTTTCATTATAAGAGCTTTTCTAAAAAAAAGAGAGGATACAAACAGGCACTGTGTATGTTTACAAATGAGGCTCATCAATTTTATAATAAAAGTCAAAATGAGAAAGGGATCATGACAATATGGAATTTTGTTGTCTTATTAAGTCCAAACAAGAACTATATTTGTACTCAAAACAGTGAGGCCCTAAACATTACCTTTTTAGTTCCAACTTCATCTTGAGGCTGAAGAAACCTATACAACATATAAGAGAAAAGTAAGGAAAAAATATATTTTCTGCTTCTGAAATACTGGAAACCAACATCCTCTTTGTAGGGGGACAAGAGTTTAAAATTAGATGAACAGAAAGGATTCAATAGGAGGAATCAAGGAATCAAACAACCCAAGGCATATCCTTTCCTACTTAATCAAAGCACATCTCTCAATCTAAAAACATATACCGATAAACCAGAAATGGCCAAAATAAAAGGTCAGCGTTGTCCATGAAATTTTATCAGCTAATTGTCTTGTCCCCAAAGGACTGAATATACACTGCAATGCACAATTAGATCAGAAAAAACAACATCATTTAAGTATCACATAAATCACCAATCACAAATGTGATGGAAATGCACCTTGTTTCA